TCACAAGGGGGGCCTCCCCTTTCTCAACGGCCCCTTTCTTTTGTCTCTTCTCCGGGGGCGCAGCACCCTTCCCGGTTCTCTTCTTCTTCTGCCCCTCGGCTGCAGTACCCCCGGCGTCAGATCTTGCCGCATCATTTTCAGCTACAGGCTCCTTCTTTGAAGACCCCTCGCCATCAGGGGCCTTGATCGCATCGGTTGCCTGGAAAAATTCGTTGACAGGCCTCTGAGATGAGGGCTTCCCCGCTTTCTTCTTCTGCTCCTTCTCGAGCTTGTTCCTCAGCATGGTGATTGCCTTTAAATCCATGGCGGGTCCTGCAAAATACACATAAATTAGATTCACTGCATAACAAGGAAATGTGCTAAGTATAAAAATGTAGAGCCCTCGGCAACAACCTTCAGCACTCTGTGGAACCATGTCGATGAGGGGGTATCTCTCATCCTTCTCCCCGAAGCGACGGTAGCGCCTAAAGTCCAGCTTATACAACTCATCCGGGAGAGTGACTTCTTTGATTGTCACTTGCTTGTCAGAGCCCTCGGGCTTAGCTGACAATTTCTTCCCGGCTTTTTGGAGGGCAGCACTCCCCACTTTTAAATGCCTCCGGAAACGATCTTTGAGAGGCTCCGGAAAGGGGTTCACGGCCATCCGGACGTAGCAGAACTTGTCCTTCCACCCTTTATGCGAGGACGGGACCTCGGAGAACAACCTCCACTCCGGGACCTGCTGCAGGTTGGCAAAGCCCTCGGCATGGGTGTGCCCCCCCGGCAGAGGTTGAAGCACATAAAGAACAAGTCCAACGACGGGACGATCTCCCGAGAACGGCAAAGGGATAAGAAGCCAGCGATATATGAGTGGCTGTTGGGAGTGAGTTGGCAAGGGGCCAGCTTCACGAACCTCAGGTACTCGATCAAGAATGGATGGAGGGGGAACCGGAAGCCGAGTTCCAAGGATAGCAAGTGGACCGCAAAACAGCCTTCGGGTGCGTGGGAACGTAAATCATTAGGCTTCGGCTCTATGACACGAGCTTGCGGGCCGACAAGGAATTGAGCCGTCAGGTACTCTGAGGAGAGAGCCCTCGATTTCAAATCCAGAGCAGCAACGTTCAGGTAAGAATAGCCCTCGGGAATGTCGACAGGTTTCCCTGCGTCGACTGCGGCTTCCTTCTTCTTCTTTGGAGCAGCCCCCGTCTTCTTCTTTCGCTTTCCCGGGGCGACACTGATGGGTTCCGGATCCAAGGGCCGGGAGCTGCTAGCCTCGCCGGCGCCACGAAGGGGGAGTGTGGCAATTGTCACTTGTTGCCTCTCTTTTTCTTCCTCCTCCTCTGCCACCTGAAGAGCGAGGGCCATTTCCTCGTCCTCTACCACTTGCTCAAAATCCTCTGCCTCCATTTCCACCCGGAGCCTGCTTTGTACCTCCTCAGCTACTGCAAGGTTATCATTCGTCGACAGCTGCTCACTCGAAGACTCCACGTCCGAATAGCTCTCCTTCTGCGCCGACGGCTCCTTCGAGATGTTTTGCGAGTCGCTTTCGGAGGACATGTTGAAATTGGTAGTCGGAGGGTTGGGAAGAAATCTCTAAAACCCTAGGGGTACTATAACACTCGATCTAAGGACGGAAGAGCAAAACTTACAAAAGTACTCAAGAACAGGAGGAGAACTGACCTCGGAAAGTTGGGTTTGATCGATATCGACTTTCTCTCTCTAGGAAAAAACTTGGGCAGAGCCTCGCTTCAATGAAATCGCACAACGACGAATGACTCACGCCTTGGGTATATATAGGCTTTCAGCCTCGAGAACTGGGCCTCGATTTAAAAAGGCCATCATTACGGGCCGCCGGTTCAACCAATGGATGGCGCCCGCCCCCCGTCTGCCAACGACCATGCGCCACGTGGAACCCTCTCCCAACGGCTATATTACAACGACTATATTTCGGCAGCAGTGGGGGTCCCCTCGAATGATAGCCTCCGGCTATCACTCACCACAGCCTTCTACCAACGAAATTCACCAAGCTTTCGGCTCATCAATGTTACCACCCCTCGGTAGCTCATCAACACGTCATAACCCCTTCAGCCCGAACTCGCCTTCGGCCTAAAGGAGTGGGGGACTGGAATACACCCCTCGGGAATCACACATGACTAAAAACAAAAATTCCCACGAGTAACGCATGTAACCCTCGGGTGCATACACCATTACACCCTTCGGCAAAGCTAAATTTCAGCAATTTTCCACAAAGTCACTGACAATAGTGGAACAGCCTTCATCACAACACATACAGATACTATTTGCGCCTCCCTCAGAAAACCCCCGACATGTGAGGGACTGAGGAGAGGCCCCGACATTCATACAAATGTTATACTTCCTTCAGAAAACCTTCGGCATGTGAGGGACTGAGGGAAAGCCTTCGGCAATCAACAGGAGGCGAATTCTCAAGCAAAGGCGCCCAACCAAGGGATGGGACCTCCGGAAGAATCAACACATCTACTCCTTTTCCCTCAAGTACCTTTCGGCAAAAGGAGTGAGGGACTCCTGATGGAGTATATGGCCCAGGAACCCCCGGCCCATAGACTCCTACTTCTCCTACACAAGTTCATTGAGCCCAGGGAACAACTCAGGCCCAAAATGCAGCGGCCCAAGCCTCGATGTGGCCCAGAATACGCACTGGGGTGCCTTCGGCCTCCTTGGCCGAAGGCCCCAAACCTCACAGGGTAGCCTTCTCTGGCATAAGAGGCTACTGGGAGAAAACGGCGAAAAACATGAGCCTTCGGTTCTATCGAGCCCTCGGCATCAGAGAAGCCCCCGGCTAAACCATGCCTCCGGTCACACAGGGCCTTCGGCTACACAAGGATCCTTGGCTACATAGAGCCCTCGGCAACACAAGGAGCCCTCGGCCAAGCACACTCAATCATCGGAGATTCCTTTTAGAGACAGCCAACCACCGCATTTAATGCCACGTCACATCCGCCAACCGCATTCAATGCGGTAAACGTAGCACTGCCGGTGCCAACCGGTTGATGTGACCTTTCGGCCGTTGGATTACTAACACGTGTCCTCTCATCGCATTTATTGCTGCTATAAATAGCAGCCCATTTCTCCTTGTAAAACATCATCTACATCTCAACTCCACATCTCGAGTTCATTTAATAAATTGACTCTCTCTCCTCCTATTTGCTCTGACTTCTCTCTAAGTTATTCCCGCAATAACCCCTCGGATAAGATACCCCCGGGTAGACTATCCATCAATTATATTATATTATATTATATTATATTATATTATATTATATATTATATTTTTTTGAATAATTCTTTCTAACCTATATAGTATCTGCTCAATGTTAATGCCAACATCCTTGAACTGGGATGAGATTCGAACCTGTGACCTCCTCCTTGGGAGTACCACAGTGATGTCATCAGACCACAAGGTACTTGGCATATTATATATTATACTCCCTCCGTCCCGATATTAACTTCCTACTTTGACCTACACACATATTTAGGAAATAAATTTGACTTTACTTTTTTTTTACTACAGGGGGTTTGGGGAGGGGGGTTTGGGGGAGCCTGGAGTAATCAGGGCTGAAACTCACTCCATTGAGTTTCAAACCCTTGTGTGCCTAGCGGGATTCGAACTCGAAACCTCCCACTAGGCACGGTAACCTCACTCCATTTGACTTTACTGTAGAGTACATTGTTTCGACACTGTTTGGCACTTTTTTGCACTGTTGACACTATTTTGATGTAGGATAACTTTCCATTTAGGGAAATGAGAAGATCATTTTGGGACGGTCCAAAAAGAAAAGCAGGAAGTTAATAGCGGGACGGAGGGAGTATTATATTTGTCATGTGAAGACATACCTTTTTTTTTCAGTTTGGCTATCAATTTCGATTTTTAGTTGAATGTTACCTTCCATTATTATAGTTTTGACTATTAGTTTTGTATTTAAGTTCTGTTTGATTTTAATCTTGGAGTCCCTTCTCTTCAATTTTTGTATAGTTACTTATTAATGGTAAAACTTAAAATATTTTTGACTTTGTAGGAGTTAATTATTTAGGATCGAATAGTACCAAAGAATCGTACCGAACCGTACCGAAAATTGGTACGGAACGGGACAGGTTCTATATATATTCGGGACGGTACCGGTTCTTTGATTTTTAAAAGAATCGTACTTTGGGACGAGACAGGTTTTTTGAAATAACCGTCTCGTACAGTCCCATGCTCACCCCTAGTTAGCAAATTTGACAGGTCCTCAGAGGCTAATTAGTTCTATGTCTCAGCTCAGGGTAGCTCTGAGCTATTGTTTGCTCTGTCTATTGTCATTTTCATTATTAATATAAAGAAGTGTTCTTTTAAAAAAATCCTTCAGATTTGACCTCTCTAAAAATTTGTAAGCCCATGTTATAACTTGAGAGTAATATGATATAAAGAGGCTGCATAGCTGACAAAAATTAAATCACAAACTAATACTCCGGAGTATTAGTTTGTGATTTAATTTTTGTCAAATGAGAAATGGATAACAAAGGTTTTAAACCTTTTTTCTGTTATCAATTAATCTACCCATTCTTAAGAGCTTCAAATTCAAAACTAAAATTGTTTAGTTTTCTCATTTTATTAATTCAAGTGGTCAAAATTGTGATTTAAATACGGAGTATATTAAAATGTCAAAAAATAAATTGTGTCATCGTATTGACAGTTTTAGGATTCAACCTTCCATGTTTCATTCAAATCGGTTCGATAAATTTTCCTCTAATCCAGTTTGATTATTTTTGTTTGCTTTTCAGTTAAAATGGAAGGAAAAGAGTACATCAAAAAATGAATTGTGAAAAAACTATTGCAATAGTTAATTAAGCAAAAATTGTACTGCGTATTAAATAATTATTATGTACAACAACATACTAATAGTAATAGTATTGCAGTAGTACGGAGTACATTTTTGCTTAATAATTGAGTAGCATTGAAGAGTAGTAGTAGTAGTAGTCTAATCCAGTTTTGAAGAGTTTGTTTTAGTATGCACAAAGTGAAAATACTGATTAGACTTGATCAGATTTGTAGTAGAATAAAATAAACTGCCCAAAATACATAAGATTCCTACCAAAATATATACGGAGTATATAACTTAACTGATACATAAATTTACATTATTACACACTTCAATCTATAGTTCTTCACAGGAGAAACTACGGATAGATTATAACTTTGATGAGATACACTCTCAGAGAACATATACAGCTGCAACAAACCATAGGTAAGTTTTGACTAAAAGTACATGCACCTTGAATAAATAGTGCAGGGTTGGTGACAAGGAAAGCTTAAGGCCAAGGCCAGGGCATGAATGTAGGAGGAGGAAGACGGAAGATGTAAGTTTGACTGGGAGAGCAGTTGAAAGCGTTGTCACCCCCAAAGCCATACTTGTGACTGTAACCCGGATAGTCGCCCGCATCAAAGTCAACGGTGGCAACCAGCTCAAGCCCCTCCTGCACAGCAATCCCAGCTATATTCCACTCTTTGTGAAACCCGTTCGTCTTGTGCGTTATGTGGATCTCCCCCTCGGCTCCGCTGAGCATCTGCTTCGCGTTGTGCAGAAACAACCTTATCAGGTATTGATGGCAGCTGCTCAAACCAAACAACCCACGATAATGGTGGTTAGTTATTACACAAACAAAACACATCTGTCTATTATACATGTAGTAGAATTTGAGTACGTATTCATCAAGGCCTCATTTGGTGTTTTGCTAAAGGAAAAATTCTGTTTATACACCTTTTGTACACTTTTTGTGTATGCCCCCCCTATTTTGCTTGTGTTACTAGGCAGCTCGTTTAAAAAATAAGAAGTTTTGTTGTATACACAAGACAAGTGTGAGAAGTGTACAAAAAAGCTTTACGCCAAGCAGTTTTCTTGGCTAAAATTTATTCAAAGTGCCTGTGTTCTTCTGGAAAAAGAAATGCTTATTTGGCTAAATCCAGAGTTAGAGTACAATTGGGATGACTTATTTCCAAAGAGAGGAAGCAAAAGAAGAGAAAAATGGACATTTTGGCATGCATGAGTGAACTTTTGTGTTTGTTTCTTAAAGAATAATGGTGTTTGAAAAAAAAAAAGACTTCGAGTAGATAAATCCAAGTAAAGTGAAATGCTCTACTCATTCTGCAGGCTGATAAACAGAAGATAAAAGGCTGACCAAAGCTGAGACGTCCGGGGTATGTCCTTGAAAAACCCAGCATACGGGAAGTTGAAGACGATGCGGTCGAAGGTGGAGCCCATCAAGCAGGGGTTGTAGATCATGCAGGTTGCATCAATACCATGCATCACCTTACACCCTCTGGCTTTCAACTCCCTAAGGTGCAAAAATGCTTTGCAGTAGTTTGTGGTCAAGAAATCTGAAACGCAACAAGAAAATGACTGACTGAACAACCACCATAATGTCTATCAAAATTAGTAAACAAACAGACCATTTATTTTCATTCCATTACCATCAGAGTCCAGAGATGTGGCAGTCATGTTAGCAGCGGATCCGAAGGCCACAGCTAAACAGGCAGAGAATGAGAAGTCTCCTTCACCAACCAGCAATATCTTCTGATGACTACTATAATGCTTTATCCATTTCTCCTCACTGCCCAAATATTTGCTTGGAAGAAGAAAATGATGCAAAGTTGGTGTAGCATAAACAGAACTAGGCGTAGCTTCCCCCCCATCAGGAAACATCATTGGAGGAAAATACAACTCGTCATTTTCAAACATACTATAAGCAGCAGCAGACTCCTTGGGATTTGAGGCAGCAGTAGCATCAACACCGTGCATCACATTGCATCCACTTCTTTTCAACTCCTCAATTTGATAAACAGCTCCCTCATATTGTTCCTTCAACACCCCTGAAGAAGCAACAAAATAACAATTAAAAGCCCCGGCTCAATTTTAAGTGGTTCCATATTATATAACCCATTGAATCAGTATAAAAAATACTACAAACCACCACCCTTTTGACCTTCTGGGATTCTAAAACTATTATGATGGAAGTCAAGCCTAAATACTTGAACAATCAATATTCTTGATCTAGGCAGTCAAAAATTTACTTTTGGAATCGAGAGAAGTGGCTGTCGTGTTAGAAGCAGAGCCAAAAGCTGCAGCTAAGCTGGCAGAGAAGGAAGAGTCCCCTTCACTCACAAGCACCATCTTGTGCGAACTGCTACAGTGTTTTGCACATTCCTCTTCTGGTACGAAACCATTATCTTGCCACGTGTCCTTTTGCTTCAGCTGATAACCAGTGCTTGAAAAAGAAGAAGTAGCTTCAGTTCGAACCCATCTACTTGCACCTAACAATTTAGCACAACTACGTGCAGACACTTCATCCTGTACCGCATTATGGCTTTCAGCCCCAAACAGGACATTGGATTTGGGAAATAATAATGATGGAGTAGTTAATTTCCCATGTGCATTGGCCCAATTCTCGGTGAAACCAGAGTTAAACTCTACAGACAGCTCAGCACCAAGATCGTTGTTGGTAGGCTCCAATATGGAGACATCCTCAACAGAGATGCTTGATGGTTCTGTTGGAGAAGAAGAACAAGAAACAGTCTTTAAGGGTCGATGAGGAAGCCTGAACATGTATGTTTTACTATGCATGCACATCACATTGCCATTACTTCCAATTTCCCATCTTGGGTTGTAGCCTGGGTAGTCACTAATGTTGAATTTCTTAGCTTCCACAAGTTCAAGTCCTTGGTTAGTTCCAAGATACTTTATTCTCCATGCTCCAAAGCATCCATCCGTCCTGTGAGTAATATGGACCTCACCACTTTCGGCAATCATCTGCTTGGAGTTCTCTAGAAACTTTTCAACAAGAGATTGATGTTCACTGCACAGGCAAACAAACTAAACACTTAAAGTACATTAACAAATCCCATCCATACCAAGTGACTCTCTGACCATGAGAGTAAACAAGAACATGAAAGTGCATAAGATGATTATTATGGACGAACCAGATTTGACGGTGGCTCCAGTCCTTAGGAACAATAGCAAATGGAAAGTTGAAAACTATACGATCAAATGCTAAACCCTTTAAGCTTGGATGAGATGCCATTGCAGTAGCATCAACAGAATGCAACACCTTGCATCCCTTTGCCTTCAACATGCTAATGTTGTGAACTGCTTTATCATACTCTCTCTTCACTGTTTCTGCAAAACAAAACAGTACTGTATAACCCAACATAAAAAAACATAATCTGAGTCGGTAAAAACAAGTTAACATTCCTTACTCTTAGAGTCAAGGGAGGTGGCAATGATGTTAACGGCCGAGCCAAAACTGGCAGCCAAACTGGCAGAGAAGGAGAAATCCCCTTCACCTACTAGCAGTATCTTGTGGGAACTACTATATTTGTTTACCCACTTCTCTTCTGCTGAATCATGGGAAACAAAAGAACTGCTTTGAAGAGTAGAGGTGTTTGCCTTTTGCTGCGTCAGAATTGACTTTAACTCTTCTACAGAAAATTCTTGAGACACTTTGTTCAACTCTATTGAATTATTATTATCATGACTGGAACAAGTGTTCCTTGAGGATGCCCCACATGCCAAGATATTCATACCAGAAGAAACCGAAGATGATGGCAACTCCTGGTGTGCATGTGACAAGTTCTCACTAAAGGCATAAAATTCCTCAGGATGCTCAAAAGGATAAATCTTGGTGGGTGAAATTATTGGAACATCCTGATGAGTGCTCTTTGATGAAAATGAATTAGCCTTCTGTGGAGGATGAGGAAGTCGGAACTTGTATGTCTTACTGGGAAAACTCTCCAAGTTATCGTCACTTCCATTTCCCCATTTGGGGTTGTAACCTGGATAATCACAAATATTGAAATCGATAGCTCCCACAAGTTCAAGCCCTTGCTTAGATGCGAGAAACTTTATTCTCCATGCACCAAAGATTCCATCTTTCCTGTGAGTGATGTGGATTTCACCCTTTTCACCAATCATCTTCTTGGCATTCTCCAGAAATTTTCCTACAAGGGAGCGTTGTTTCCTACACCACACAAACAAACAGTTGCAACACTATAAGGGTAGCTAGCCTAAAGCTTTGTATGTTGGTGTGTATGATTGACTCTACCAAGTGAAATTAAATAATTAGCTAAAGTGATTGTCATAACTAATGAATGAAAATTCAAATACTTGAGAACACTCTCAAGGTGAAGATGGCTCCATCCTTGCTTGGACAGGACAGCGAATGGAAAGTTGAATATTATGCGGTCGAACACCAAGTTCTTCAAAGAAGGATGAGATGCCATGACAGTGGCATCAACAGCATGCCACACCTTGCACCCATTTGATTGCAACACTCGGATATTATCAACAGCTTTTCCATAAACTTTCTTCAAATCCCCTTCAAAAGGAAACCATAATAATGAGGGGAAAAACATCTCAAATTCTCAAACAAACCATTTTGTGTCCAACAATCTAGGCTGTGAGAACAAGAGAGCCTACTTTTATGTTCAAGGGATGTGGCAGTCAAGTTAGAAGCGCAGCCAAAGGCCGCAACTAAACTTGTACCGAAAGAGAAGTCTCCTTCCCCCACTAACAGAATCTTTTGTGAACTACTGTAGTGTTTTTTGATCAATTCCTCTTCTGCTACCAAACTCTCAATCACATCATCATGCTTCATATTATGAAATAGTGACAGAGATGGTAACTCCTGAAATGCATTGGAGTTTCCTGCTGGAAATATCGACACATCCTGGAGAGATGGTAGTGTGGGTCGCGAAAAAGAATCAGGCTTCAAGGGTGGACGAGGAAGCCGGAACCTGTACGTCTTACTAGGGTAAGACTCAAAGTTATCATCACTTCCATTTCCCCATTTGGCATTGTACAATGCATAATCTGAAATGTGGAAATCAGAAGCCTCCACAAGTTCAAACCCATGCTTAGATGCAAGAAACTTTATTCTCCACGCACCAAACAACCCATCTGTCCTATGGGTGATATGGATTTCACCATTTTCACCAATCATCTGCTTGCCATTTTCAAGAAATTTCACCACAAGGGATTGTTGTTTCCTGCAAGAACAAAAAAAAATAGACAAACACTATTAGGTTCTATCCTGAATAATCAATATTCTATGATATAAGTTTGTATTTAAAATAATTGAGAATTCATATACTTGAGAACCGTCTGATGGTGAAGATTGCCACGTTTTTCCTTGGGAAGGACAGCAAACGGAAAGTTGAAAACTATACAATCAAACACCATGTTTTTCAAACAGGGATGAGATGCCATAACAGTGGCATCAACACCATGCCACACATTGCACCCCTTTGATTGCAACTCTTGGATATTATCAACAGCTTTTTTATAAGCTTTCTTCAAATCCTCTTTGAAAGGTAAACAACAACATCTATCAATGAAGAAAACTCAAATAGTGTTCAGTAATCATAGGGAAAAAACAAAAGAAACGTACTTTTATATTCCAGGGAAGTTGCAGTCAAGTTAGAAGCAGAACCAAAGGCTGCCGCTAGACTGGCGGCGAAAGAGAAGTCTCCTTCGCCCACTAAGAGAATCTTGTGGGAACTACTGTAGTGTTTTATCCATCTGACCTCTTCACCACCCACACTTTTCTTAGTGTGATGAGCGGAGAAATCATTGGCTGAATGTGGAAAAGCCATGTTTTTTACGACCACCCTGAATTCCTGAAAGTAAAATAAACGTCGGAGTGATCGGAATGCGCTGCAGGGGAAATTGCTACTGTTCTTGGCTTATGATATCTTCACTCTGAAGGAAAAAAAAACATGATGAAGGGAAACTCCTTCGTTCACTTCCAACTGAGAGTATAAGCCATCTCGATCGTCTCTGAAATCTTAATAGGGAAGTTCATCAGAAGAAAAGTGTGATTGTTAATGGGAAAGGCGAACTGAAAAGCCTCTTATAGTACTGTATATGTCCGTACTCCAACCGAGTAGACATTTATCAGGACACTTAGGAGGCGTTTACTTCGCTGCTAAAGTCACAGTTAGGTTAGTAAGACAGGTGAAGTAAACACGCACGCTGCTTAAAAAGCCGCTTACTAACCGAAATAGGTGCTTAAAGTGCCGCTTACTAAGCCTACCACACCCCCATGTATTAATTAAGCGGCACTTTAAGCTTTTTCAGTTTCCGAATTTACCCCTTGCCCTTACCCTATTGTTACCCCTGACCCACCTACCTACCGACCCCACCTTGACCCCAACCCTACCCTACACCTTCTATCCTGACCCCACCCTACCCTTACCCTTACCCCACCCCTACCCCCTACCTTACCTACCCCACCCCTACCCTACCTAACCGACCCCCACCTACCTGACCCCACCTTACCCCTACCCTACCCCACCCTACCACTACCCGACCTACCAGACCCCACCCCTACCCTACCTACCAGACCACAAACCTACCCCACCCCTTACCCACCTACCCAACCCCACCCTACCCCTACCCTATCCGACCTCACCCTACCCCTACCCTGACCCTACCCCATACCCCGCCTGAACCCCACCCTACCTACCCGAACCCACCCTACCACTACCCCACCTACCCAACCCCACCCCTACCCTTACCTACCCGACCCACCCTACCACTACCTGACCGCAGTCACCCCACCATACTCTTACCCCACCTACCCCATCCCACCATATACCCCGACCCCACCCTTTACCCCCACCCTATACCTAGGGTGGTGGGGTTGGGGTGGTGGGGTCGGGGTGGGGCCAATGTGATAGAGGCGCTAGGGGCAGAGTAGGTGCGGTGGGGTCGGGGGTAGGGTTGCGGCAGAGTGGGGTCGGGTAGGGTAGGGGTAGGGTGGGATTGGGTAGGGTAGTGGTAATCGGGGTAAGGTAGGGTAGGGGTAGGGGCGGGGTTGGGGTAAGGTAGGGTAAGGTGGGGTCAGGGTGGGGTCGATGCGGTAAGGGGGTATGGGGGTAGGGGCCTATGGGGTTGGGGGTAGGGTCGCGGTAGGGGTAGGGTCGGGTAGGTAGGGTAGGGGTAGGGGGTAGGTGGGGTCAGAGTAAGGTAGGGTGGGTAAGGGGTTAGGGGGTATGGGTACACATTTATATTATATACTTGTGTTCATGAATGTTTGTGTGTGTATATATGTATAGGGTTATTTTGGACATTTTAATGTTAAGCGGTGTTTTAAACCGTTTGAAGTAAACACAGTCTTACAACATTGTTTATTTTATGCACCGCTTATTAATACGGGTCTTAATAAGCACCGTTTAATAACCGGTGAAGTAAACGCCTCCTTATTACTCAGCGGGAGATTTGATTTTAAGAGGGTAACTCTTTTTTTTTTGGGAAATTGCTCAAATCAAAATTTATACTCCCTCCGTCTCTAAATGTTGTTCCAATTGCGGATTACGAAGATTGACCGACGATAAAATTAAATGATCTCTGTGAAAACTTGAATTATTTTTAATAAATAAAAGTTACATATTCAGAAATTACATTAAACCTGCTACAAAGCCTGTAAAAAATAATTCAACTTTTATAAAATTTTGATATAAAAGTAAGAGTTTAAGAATGATTTAAGTTGACCCTCGATAAGCGAAATGTAACTTCTTTTATTAGGGACAGAGGCAGTACAAAATTCAAAAACAAGATTAGGAAAGTTGATTAAGCTTCCTGAAACATGGGTGAATCAGATACTATAAAGTACTCCGTATGTCGTATGAATGTTTAAAAGGAAATAATGAAAACTTTATGAACTTCATCTTTTGTTTTAATCTCTTTTTAGGTATTTTCCTCTTTTTAGTTTGAAAAAAAAATCCTTAAAAACGACAACAATATTTTATTCTTAAATGGAAGAAACTAAGAGCATCTCCAATGCTAAAACGTTAACGGTGCATACGCGGCATGGAAAATAACCAATTAAAAAACAATAAATACAATATCTCTCTCCTTATTTGAAGGATCTTACACCATTTTGGTAAGTTTTTCTCTGCAATGTCAAGCACAATGTCTAGATGTAGACATTGTGATTGACATTGCAGATAAAAACTTACCATAAACACATAAGACCGTGGAAAGAAGAAGAGAGATATTGTATTTATTGTTTTTTAATTGGTTATTTCTCATGCTACGTATGCGCCATTAACGTTTTAGCATTGGAGATGCTCTAATGTATTTTGTTTTCAGAAAACATTCTACTTCTGTTTAAAGAAACCACATTTGGAATCATATACATAGAGAAAATTATGTGGTACCGCCGGGCGCCGGCTGTACTAAATGTGTGGTGTAAACATCGGTTTTACTTGCTTTTAGGCTCTATATCATGCTTTTATTTGATTTTCTTCTTCTTCTTTTTTTTGTATTTTTCTTTAACTGCTTTAATTTTATATTCAATTATTATGAAAATGTATAATATATAATATTATTGAATGTCCCATTTTTTCTTTTTCCAATCAACTTTCTAACTTTGGTTTTTAAATTTGTGCATTATAAAATATTTTAGGTATTAATGTTTTACTAGTGTAAAGCTCGGGGCATGCCCCGGTAGCACGTCAATTCGATGTAAGTTAAAACCGTACGAAGGATAGTACTACTTTCTTCCCATAAAATTCTTCTAACTTCATTTTTTGGATGTCCCAAAATTTCTTCTCATTTCCCTTTAAAAGTGAATTATTTAAAGGATCCAAAGTTTAATTATGAACTAACCACAACCAATTATAAATTGGTACTCCCTCTGTCCTGCTAAGATTATTCCATTTTACTTTTTCGGGAAGTCCCACTGAGATTGCCCCATACCAAACTTGGTAAAGTTTGTGTGACACTAAATCATTCTTACTTTATTTTTACCTTTTCAATTCAATATCAATCACATAAAAACTCACTTTTCTTAATAACCGTGCCACCTTCTTCCGCCCCAATGTTAGTGAGGCGGAGGTATATTATATATTTACACTTAAATTAATAGCAAGGTTTTAAATTGTGGTTACAACTGTAGTTGCAGCTGTTACGGATGTTGCGATACGTATTACGGCCCAATGCAAACCAATGATGCCACGTTGCGGCCATTTTATATGAATCAAAATTTCTCCGCCATTGCGCCCCAATGTAGCTGTGATATAGCTCACAACCACAATATTGTGGCCGTAAAAGTGTTGTGTTCCACAAAATAAAACTATGTTTATACAAATTTAATTTTTTTTATCACATTCAAATGTATTTTTTTTTGTGATGAAACATTCAAATGTATATTTGAAAGTTAGTTTAGACACAATATTAATTTTTTATATTTAGTTTGTAGTATTATTTTGTAGTACTCCCTCCATCCCATTGAGAGGTTCCTGATTCAGTTTACGATACTTGACTAACAATAAAGCAACTTGATCTTTGTTCTCACCATTTTCTTAAATTTATTCCTCCACCCTTTTCTCCTAGTTTATCTCTCCAACGGTTTCTAAATTAATTAATGTTATAATTAAATGTTATAATTAAATTGTGTTAACCAATAAGAGTAAGACACATCAGCAATTTATAACTGAGCTTTACTATATAAAACAATAGATTTGTAATAAGTTATCATACGTCACACCTTTAAAAACACTATCTTAGTAAGCAAAATATTTTTGTGATATAAGTTGAGCATGTCAATAGTGGTTTGGAACCTTTAAATGAGAGAGAGGTAGTATTATTTTTGTTCATCGTTGACTTAGTACACAAAAGTTTAAAACTATAATTGCACAAACAAAATCCATATACATTGCTTCTAACGTCCATTTGTTTGATGTTATAACAACGTTTATCGTAAAATGTCTTCCAGAATGAGAGAATGGAAATGTAATGCCCTAAAAATGTAATTAAAAGTATGATGAACAAAACTTAGAATATATCTCAGGTAACGAATATGAGAAGATTTTTCTTATTTCCAATTTGTAAAGTTAAAAGTTAAAAAAAAATTAGGTACTAAAAGAATCAAACACCCAAAGTTAAATTTGAATGTGATAAATTTTTAATACCTAAAAGAATTGTCAATAATACCTAAAAACGTTGTACGTGCTTAAAGAATTGTACATAAAAAATTAAGTTTGAATGTGATAAACATTTAATACCTAAATTTCAAACTCGTGTTAATAAAATTCTATGATTCCTTTACATTAAAATTATTGTAATATAATTTATTTAAATAAAAATTTGATCTTAATTTACATTCAACCCACATAAATTTGATTGTGCCCTTACCTTAAAAAATATACAAACATATATCTAAAAAAATCAGTATTAGAGCTTTAGAGAAGATATTCAACATTTAAATAAGTTCTAATTTATATATATACTTTTATATCCGTGAAAAGTGATTGACTTGACGGACATTGTCTCCGCGTGTGACCAATCTTGGACGTAAAGGTCGATCAACTCTACTTTTTATTTGAGATCTCTTCGATAAATCATACTGGATCATGGAAGTCGGGAGAGGAATCACCATTTTAGGTATAAGAATTTTGTGATTATATTGTTTTTATATGGTAATGGTTACAATAATTTTTTAGTAGAAATTTTTTGAAATAGGAGTAAATAAGTTTGAAAATTTCAAAATATGACTGTCATGTTTTTTATTCTCAAAATAGAAATAATTACTGCAAAGTTTGGAAAATATTATTATGTTTAAAGTTTGGTACTGACAAAACATGATACTAATTAGTACTACCTTCGTCCCATTTATATTGGGACGGAAGAGGGTGGCACGGTTATTAAGAAAAGTTGGTTTGCGTGGTTGATATTAATTGATAAAGTAAGAATGATTTAGAGTCACACAAACTTTGCCAAATATGGTATGGGATAATTTAAGTGGGACTTCCCGAAAAGATAAAACGGGACAATATAAATGGGACGAAAGGGAGTATTATTTTGAGAATAAAAATAT